CATTCTAAATTTTATTTAAAATTATAAGTGAATTAAAATATCTTGATTACGGTTTCACTGTCTTCCATTATTAATATCATTATAAAAAAAAACATTTACTTTACATTTAAATAACTGTAATAGGAATTAAGAAAAAAAACTGTTTGTAACTTCAACTTGTTGACAACGTTAACGTTACCTTCTGTTCTTATCATGCTATTTCTTTTTGCAGTATTTTCATGGAAAAGTCGCATAGAAGTGATTCTAGAACACTTCATGAGTGTTTAAATATGAAAAATTCATAATAAGAAACATCGAAAAAGTTGTATTTTTCAATACAGGAAATCGAAAAGTCCTTGTAAATCAAAAACAATTACGGTGTGAGACGCGTCACAAATTCGGACTTAATATTTTACATAAATATGCGACTTTGGAAGTTCCTTTAGAAAATAATTGTGAAAGTTTTAATCTCAATATTATTTGAAGCACATTGTGCTAAATCAAAGCACGTGTAGCAGTCTATAACACCAAAGCCTGAACTAAAAACACAAAGGAAGCCATCTTGAAATGACCTTGACATCGACCAATCAGATCTCTAGTTTTATTTCATTCAATAACAATAACAACAACTTGATTTGACAAACATGAAGCTCATTTACGAGATAAACGGAATAGTGTTAACAAGAAAACAAATGAGCATACATTTAATTAAGATGATTTAAATAATCACAATCATCTCAGACAAAAACGAATAAAATGATTAATATTAATTACCTTCATATTATCTGAATCCACCAAATTTAGAACGTCCTTGATTTACGTTTTGTCGATGAAGTTAAAATTACCGCCAACTGAGACTTAACACCGTGTCATATAAGCCACAGCCGTTATACAATATTCCTGCGCTTTTTGCCATTTGGCAAATGTAAACGACTTGTAATTAGAGATTTTCGGCGATTAAATATTTCATACAATTGTTCTTTGACATCTTAGCCAAAAGCACAGGGGATAATAATCTACATAAGGATTTCAAGCGAGCACTACTTTCTATGTGCAACTTCAAAACTTTTGGGTGGTTCGACGATCATTTAAGGTTTTTCTGGTCATATTTTTTGTATTCCAGAATAAAAAGTATGAAAAAAGTGTTCAATTAGTTATAAATAACATAATAGCCAGCCAGATAATAACAATGGCACATATTTCAGCATTTATTGGGTAGAACACAAATCTAGGGTGCTCGCATAAAGCAGCTTAATTGCTTAAAAACTGTTGTTGTAGAAGTTGCATATAGTAAAGATTGAATTGTGGTCATAGAACAAAGTGCATAGTTTTTTCTTAAACGAGCACAAGGCATTAAACAGTTAACTTGGTAAGCTTGTGAACATATATTTGTTCCGCATAATACCTTGTTTAGAATAAGAGCCATCGTTTAAATATGTACAATGTTTGTTGTATTCCTCAGACTCCATTCTTTGTATGTACTACATGTACAGGTAAATGTCATGTGAGGTGAACATTAATTATATGTAAGATGTAATCAGGTGTAAAAAATCAAATGACACTCTTTTTTTAAAGGAACAAATATTATGAAACCATATGACGTTTTAGTTCCAGGAAAATATCTCATGAAGGTGGAAAAAGTATTATGTAATGTTTGTTCCCAAGAACTTTTATTATCCATAGTTTTGTTCCAGGGGGAACAAGTATTATGCGAAACAAATATATGTTCACAAGCTATCGAAAACAATTGAAACAAAATCGGTAAATAATGACGTGAAAGATAGACTTGCCGGTGTCATGAGAAATGCAAAGTTCAAGACAAAATCTATTAATTCTTGCCAAGTTAATACTGGTATGGAATCGGAATGGAAACCGATGGAAACAAATTAACCGAAAAATAAATAACCGCAAAACAATCTTTTTTCATTAATAGGTCGATAAAACAATTATACGTTGTGTTTCGATCTGTAACCGGAGAGCATGATTCTAATGAGAAAATCACATTGTCCCCACCGGGACTCGAACCCTGGACCTCTGTGTTACAAGGCAGCGCGTATACCAACTGAGCTAAAGAAGTACTTCCTTAGATCAACCGCTTACGGCTGACTAAGTATCTACTAATGAAGGGAAGCAATCCCGTCACAGATCATTTAAAAAATCTGATGTCTAAGGGCAAGGCGATAACACGTGTATATACTTGCTGGTGGACTATCAGTCCCCGAGGTATTATCAGCTCAGTAGTCAGTAATTCGGTACTAACATGATTAATAATATACCTTTCTTAAATTGATTATTTAGCTTTCAGCTCTCTCATGCAAAGATGATTGGATATTCATTTTACGTCTTTTTTGGACAAATAGCTCTTCATATATTTCGTTTCTTATACATCCTCGGCTTTCAATTATTAGACTTTTAGCGTTCGTTACGAAGGTAAAAAAAAAAGAAACTAGACAAAGTAATGTCCTCGTACTCCACTCTGAAGTAACTGTATTATAACAAAGTCAATGTAGGACTTTCTTTGAGATATTATTGTGTCTGGGAGACTCACATAAATTATGCCCCCGCAGATACAAAATGTTATTTAAAAATACACAAAGTTGAGCATGAGATCACATAGGTCTATCTATGGTTCACTGTAGGAGGAGTTATCCAGAAACGCTATGCACCTCTTATGCAAGTATATACTCCAAAAATTACAAAGTTCAACTATCTCCCAAAAGAGCAACTATCTATAAAAATCAAAACCCTGACCACATGCACACCTTCAATATATATACAAACAGCCAGCAAAGTGAAAACTTCTTAGTATTCAAACTGTAGGAGTAGTTATCCGGAAACGCTATGCACCTCTTATGCAAGTAAATACTCCAAAAAATGACAAATTTCAACTATCTCCAAAAAGACCAAATATTAATAAAAATCAAAATCCAGACCACATGCACACCTTCAATATATGAACAAATAGCAAAGTGAAAACTTCCAAGCATTCAAACTGTAGGAGGAGTTATCTGGAATATCTATATACCCATAATGGGACGGACGGATGGAAGGACAGACGGACGGACGGACGGACGGACAGGAATAAAACAATATGCCCCCAACTTTCAGTTGCGGGGGCATAAAAACGCTTCGGACGCATAACATTTATGAAGTGTTGTCTTTATTTCTTTAGACAGACCTTTTTTTCCGAAAAGGAACTTGCAGACAGTCTAAGAAAAGGAATCAAGAATAAATCTCCAGGAGTGGACAATAACATTAACGAATATATTATTGAAAGCAAGCCAGTATTACTATCTTATGTTTAATCTTTTTCAAAATGTAATATTATGTACAGGATTCTTTTCGGGGCTCTCGTTAAAAAGTATAATGGTGCCGTTATTGAAAAAAGGGTTCCGTAAATGACCATGGAAATTATCGAGGTCTATCATTAGTGCCCATATAGAAAAATAATACGGCTTCCCTCAACACTAGACTGTTGAACTGGAGCGAGAAAAACTTTTATCTCAGACGCACAGTTCGGATTAAGATCTGGCTACGAAACCCATGATGCAATTTTTGCTCTTCATATCATCATATCAAACTCTTTGCGAAACAAAAAAGAGGTTGTAATGTTAATTTTCATTATGAAAAGGTTTTTGACAGGGCTAAGCAATGTAAATGCTAAATGTGCTATAAATGGGAAATTGATTAATCTAATAAAATCAATGTTTCTAAGTTGAAATTATGTGTTGATTATATGTGACATTGGTATAATGCAAAGAATCCTTAAAAACTCCTTTTTTATATACTATGATGGTCAATAACATTGAAATGAAATTAATAAAACAGGGTTGTCAATCACAATACATGAGAATGCGCAATCTTTATTTATTAGTGTATTCTGACGATACTGTTATTTTCAGCGAAAATATTAATGATAGACGTTGTTCATATAAGGGAATAATTTGCATATAAATATGTTGAACACTAAGAATGTTATATTTAGAAACAGAGGTGTTATCAAACGAGAAGAAAACTGTTTTATTAATGGATAGTACATGTATATTGAATTATGTGGTGAATGTGTATATTTTTGTATGTTGTTAAATTATAATGGAACTTATACTAATACTCCAAAAATGCTATCAAATAAAGATAAACAAAACTGACTGTTTTCGGTTTATTTAGTAAAATTCAAGACGACTACTTTAATACAAAGACACTACTGTCTTTATTTGATACATATGTTTCAAGCATAGTAAAGTGAAGGGATATCATAAGGTAATTGACATTAAAACTTCATTAAACTGTTAAGCAGAAATACTGGAGACTACCTATGTAAAAAGTAAGACTAAAGAGATTTCTTATGTAATTATGGCTTAAGTAATGTATTGTCGACACAAGATGTTTTTAATAAAGATGTATTATAGCGTGTTACTGGTAGATTTGTAGCTGAAGCAATGGCATTTATTGAGGATTCTCCTAAATGTCAGTTTTACAAATACATACATGTATATGAAAGTCTACTTTAATCTTGGTTATATCTAATATAACATTATATTTATTGTACTTGATACCTATCAGCTGTATAGCTATCGGAATAAAGAATATAATATATAAGTTTAGATTTGTTTGTTAAATAAATAGTTTGTTTTCATCCATACCATTTTCGATATTCCACTGTTCAAAGTAAAATATGCCTGTTATATATTACAAGCTTAGTCTTTGGTTCATTTTCTAGTACATGTTGTGTCGAATACAGGGGTCTTTTCGTATTGGTGACACATGCTACGGGTTGTAAAAAATGAAACATTTTGTATGGATTATACAAAGAAAAAGCATCATTATTTGAATAGACGATAAACTAAATAATAAAATAAAATAAGAGAAGAGAGCTATAATTATAAAATCTAGACCTTTTGTGTTCTATTTTACAATCCAAGATGGCAGAGACTCCCATACTTCCTTAACATAATGTTAATTAAGTAAACATAAATGTGCAAACCGTATAGCGATATGCATTATGACTAGCCGTTACTCACTTGTTATAATGTATCAAAGCACAAGTAAACTTTCCTGTCCACACGGTTTTATTTACACATTCGTAATCTGAAATATATATAGAATAAATGGAGAATTTGTCTATGGGCCACAGATGCCCCCGCTTGTAAATATGCATGAGTCAATGTACTAAAGTGACGCCTCCCAATTTCGAGCTTGATTTGTGTTTTGTGGTCTTTAACATTGTGTATAAATTTTATAACATTTGGTTGAGGCAAACTAAAATAAGCGAACGGAAACGACATATTAAGCAATGTTTCCCTTTATAAAGGGGCATAACAAGTACGGTAAAAGTGACACAAACCAATTTCAAACTTGATTTGTGTTTTGTGGTAATAAGCATAGTATATAAGTTTCATAACATTAGGTTATGGCAAACTTAAGTTAGAAAACGAAAACGAAAAATTCAGCAACTGTTATGCTTATAAAGGGGCATAATTCTTGAACGGTAAAAGTGAAGCCACCCAACTTCGATCTTGATCTGTGTTTTTTTTTGTAATAAGCATTGTGTATAAGTTTTATAACATTTGATTGAGGCAAACTACAGTTAGAAAACGGAAACGAAAATTCAGCAATTTTTATGTTTATAAAGGGGCATCACTCATGAACGGTAAAAGTGACGCCACCCAATTTCGAACTTGATTTGTGTTTTGTGGTAATAAGCATTGTGTATAAGTTTTATAACATTTATTTGAGGCAAATTTAAGTTAGAGAACGGAAACCAATTTTGGGCACATACGCGACGAACGGACGGGACGGAAAACGGTAACACTTAATGCCCCCTTCGCCTAGCGGCGGGACATAATTATGTAATAGTGTATCAATTATCAACAGATTGTGATTTTATGACGAACGCCTTATTATTTCATGTACATCTTCATTTATATTTTACTTTTCCAATATAATCAACATGCATGTACATAACATCTGCAGTATTCATAAAAGATTCACAAGACATTTACTGACTTGAAAACAAGCTTACATAATTAATAAAAGTTTGAGCATGTGAAAAACTGAAAACGATAAATTTCCTGAACAAAATACATATTACCAAATTTTAAATCACATTTACTAAGCTCATCTTAAAAGCAAAACATAACAGAAGACCGAAGGGTAAAAATTGCATTCATTTTGCAGTGAGAACTAAATATTGCATGATATTAAGCATTGAAAGGCAATACGAGAAAATGGAGATATGTCCTTTGTCAATAATTTAGTTGTGCAACTAGAATTATTGACAAAGGAAGATAACTCAAATTTTAAATACGACTGTTCACGTATACCTAACAACAAAATTATTTCCATTTACCAGTGTTTAAAGTAATTGCAAATGGCTGATGTTTTTGTTCAAGCATATTGTTTTTCTTACATTGTTTAAGGGACGACATCAAAAGTTCAATGTAGGATAAAAAAACTTAATTCACATATTTTTTTCACGGACCCCTATGTAAAATCGATTTTGGATGAACAAAACTTGCACCAATTCTAACCCCCCACCCCCAAACTATTTGATTTAAGTTTTTGTTCCTACATTGATCTTTTGATGTCGTCCCTAACATTTCACAGCGGTATAACATGTTACTTAAATTATTCTTGAAGTTCCCTTAGTTTATTTATTTTGTATTTACATTGTATCATAGATCAAATTTATTTGTTCAGTGTATGATCACTGGTGTTAATATGTCTTTTGATTGAGTTAAGCCATTTCAATTGATATTTTATAGAGTGTCTTTCTATGTTGTGATATTACACTATTGTTTCAGATAAGGGTGAAGGTTTGGTACCATTAAAACGTTTAAACCCGCTGCAATTGTTTGCACCTGTCCTAAGTCAGAAATCTGATGTTCAGTAGTTGTCGTTTGTTGATGTGGTTCATAAGTGTTTCTCGTTTCTCGTTTTTTATATAGATAAGACCGTTGGTTTTCCCGTTTGAATGGTTTTACACTAGTAATTTTTGGGGCCCTTTATAGTTTGCTGTTCGGTGTGAGCCAACTTGAAGGCTCCGTGTTGAAGACCGTACATTGACCTATAATGGTTTACTTTTATAAATTTTGACTTGGATGGAGAGTTGTCTCATTGGCACTCATACCACATCTTCTTATATCTATTAACAAATGATATTTTTAAAATAGATATTAGTTTCATATACTAGTACCATGCACAATATATGTAGTTTCATTAAAAGGTAATAGTTGTAAGCATACACATTATATTTTTATCTCAACAATCACCATAAAAATTATATTTCATTGATAAATTTCTCGAAATGTTCATGGATAGGAGGTATTGAATATTCGGTTCAATGCACTTTTGTTTATCCAAAAAGTAATGATCAAGTCTGGAACATTAATAACTATCTAACCAGCTCAATCAGGGTTCTAATTGCATGAATGCAATCTTTATCTAAAAGACACAAATGACCGATCATAATTACCAGGCGTCATGATAAAATCAAGAGGACATGGTTTTTTGTAACACGAACAGTCTTCCTTTGAAGGTACACAGTAACAACTTTGTTTTGGCATTATTATAAAGGCATAACTCCTTGTATAGTCACAGCGACACTGTCTGTCAGAATCAGCTGTTCCATCAGTATGGATAACTTGTCCCTCTTCTCTACAATATGTCTTTTCAAAGATACAAGATGACATTCCATTCGTAGAAAAGGAAAATGGTTGATATCTGGTACCTTCACAATCCCTTCGATCAAGATCGCCAACCAAAACTAGTTTGTGTCCTATCATAAAGAAACAAAAATAAATTTAATCTAATACTTGTAACATTTTTCATGGTCTATTTTCTAAATTTATTTATATTTTCCCCCGTTTATATGAGGTTTGTGTCATTGGGGCACTTCGCAGTTGACGTTTCGAACGTTAACTTTTTTGTTATAAGATGAAGGAACCCTAATCTTAAAGTGGCTTGATTTTATGAACAATAAAGAAATTATACATCATAGTGGAATCACACATTACCTTTCTACACTAAGTTTCCAGATTATATAAACTGGTTCATCAGTAGAATTAACATTCTTTTGGAAGGCTTGAATAATTTCGCAGTTTTAGTGGCCATATAAGAGCTATCATAACACCTCCTGCTTTCAAAACGTAAAAACGTGTTTGCTATATTAGACATTCGAAAAACCTTATATTAAAACTCTTTAGAGATCGAGTATAGCTTAATGATTTATAAACCAAAGAGAAGAAGGTTCGTCAAGTAACTTTTTTGGTGCCTTGAATCCTAAGATAAACATACATTATGTTGATCAAAATTACAAATATCCTACTTCTGCATGTGCATAAGACTTTAGTCTGACGGACATCAGTGTTTACGTTTTTGAATCATGTTTTACATAATTACAAATTGAAAATAAAAAAAAAAATGTAAAATAGCCTCAATTTGAGATATATGCAAATCAAACCCATATTCAGGACTAGAACATGTTTATGTAATATGAATATTAACCCTTCTTTGTACTAGACCGACCAACTGAGCTGGATTTTTCACGTGCTAGTTCACAAGTTAACAGTTCACAGGAAGACATGTCATCCTATATGTACACATTATTCCGAGCTGAACAGTCCTTGTTTTAAATCCTTATTGCCGTGTGCTTAGCAGAGAAGCAGTCTTTGGTTGACACGACCGGGGTGCGAACTCCCTCACTCGAGGCAAAGACGCTACCAATTAATATTTACATCTACGTCAAGGTTTTACATAAAAGATATGTTGCTTCAAGGTGTATTTTATAAAGATATTGTGTGTGCAATTTATCTTTTTGTGTACGACATGGAATATTATGGAACAAAAAAACACCCCCTGCATTGTTCGTTCGATGCATAATTCGCATATAGACATGTTTAAAAACAAATAAAAGCTACATAAACTTAAATTACGTATTCGCAATAGGTATATTCGAATAAAAAAAATGATGGACGAAATTGCACTAGTTTCCTTTCAAGAAAACATACACTGGTTATATCGTTTTGATGTATTGTTTTTGTTAGTATAGTAGTGTATTAATACGTTGCGAACATCGTAAAGTATCTAATTTATATACAATAAATTAACATATATAAAGTGTGACTGATAATATTTCAGTTTTTGTAATCAAAACTCATAGTTGTATATGGCATGGTATTGGTTGCAAAAATTTGATATTTTTCATTTAAATGCAATATTTCTTATTTAATTGGTATATATCTTCATTTAAATGCAATATTTTTTTATTTGAATGGTATATTTTTTCATTTAAATGCAATATTTTTTATTCAGATGGTATAATTTTTCATTCAAATGGTATAATTTTTCATTCAAATGGTATAATTTTCGTTCAAATGCAATATTTTTTATTCAGATGGTATAATTTTTCATTCAAATGGTATAATTTTTCATTCAGATGGTATAATTTTTCATTCAGATGGTATAATTTTTCATTCAAATGGTATAATTTTTCATTCAGATGGTATAATTTTCGTTCAAATGAAATATTTTTTATTCAGATGGTATAATTTTTCATTCAAATGGTATAATTTTTCATTCAGATGGTATAATTTTTCATTCAAATGGTATAATTTTTCATTCAAATGGTATAATTTTCGTTCAAATGCAATATTTTTTATTCAATTGGTATAAAATGTCATTTGAATGCAATTGGTATAGTAGTTTTTATTATTTATATGCAATAATTGCATTATGGGAAATTCTTTGACGTCATAAGGTCAAATTTGCAACAACGTTTGTGATTGGTCGGTAATTGTTTGGATTTCTCCCCTTTCTTTCTAAACTTGAGTGACCAAGATTTAAAAACGCGTCAGAATATCGCCCCTCTAACTAAATTTGGCGTTCGTGCGAGTTCGTGCACTGGCTGTTAATGCCAATAATGGCCAGGACGAGCAAAAAATGCGAGTGACAAGTAATAATAATTAATTTGACACACAACTTGTTCATGGATAGAAACAGATGCCTGCGTGCATGGCAAAAACACCTCCAATGAAAACCTTTTCTGAAGAAACTCTCCTACAGTCTACACATTGAAATAAAAAAAAAATACATAGCTAGCCCCACTCCCCCTTCTAAGTCCAGATACATGTAATCATAACGTTCTTTAGTGCTATATCATTTTTTACTTTTCTTGATCCTCAGAGACGTTGCAGGAAGGCACACATGAAAAAAGAATAAAAAGCATCCAGGACGTTACAATTATTTGGACTAAGGCCCCTCTTTTTTACTACATGTAGAAAAAAATCACCTAATTACGACAGCAGAACCAGAAACCCACAAGTAGAGACATAAGCTGTTATACTCCGGAACTAATTCTTTAATAAAGACAATTCAGGATAAATTGGAACCAGTTACTAACCCATGTTACAACAATAGTCCTATGACATAGGACTTCACTATATGAGGCGTGAACTTCATATTTAATACTATCTACAATATGTGCTCTCATGTCTTATGCTGCAAATCATTTTACATTTAGGATTCGTTGCTGAGCTTTTTTTTACTGTTCTCGTCTCCGAATCCATTAAATAGATTTTTTTCAAGCCCCACAGTTGTTCAATAATTACTATTTGTCTTTGCATAAATAAGTATGCAGGGCATATTTCAAAACATATTTTATCTTCAGGACTTTTAAATGATTTACTTTTCAATACTGCATTGGGAAGGGGGTATACAAGTTTATTTTGTGACACATTATATAATATAATTAGGTATCCAACAAATTATATGATTGTACGTTTAGCTATTATCTAGACCCGTACAAAATGTATATAATTAGACACATTTAACCGGGGCGGATCCAAAACCTCGGTGTCTAGAGGGAGGGGGGGGGAATAGGTTCAAATTTAGATATTTGTATAGAGATGTACATATGCGAGTATTGGCAGTAATGGTTATGGTGTGTGTGTGAGGGTAGGGGTTTCAGATCAAAGATCGTTTCTATAATTCTATATCTTTTAGTTTTTACCATTTCACTCTATTATTTATCCTCTGATCTCTATTATATTTGTCCTAAACATGCGTGACATATTTGCCACTGGACATAAGGCAACCAAAAGTCAATCAACGTATTCTGTATATTTCATCATTTCTTTATTATGTTATCTATAGGTTTGGTCCCGCCCCTTATCTATTTTTTTGCACATTAGGGACGACATCAAAAGTTCAATGTAGGATAAAAAAAACTTAATTCATATAGTTTTTTTCACTGACCCCCCCCCCCCCCCCCCCCCCCCCCCCCCTCTTAACTTAATTTGGAAAAAATTGATTGACCAATAAGGATATATATAAAATCGATGTTAATTAAACAAAACTTGCAGCAATTTTGACCCCCCCCCCCCCCCCAAAAAAAAAAAACTATTTGAATTCAGTTTGTTATCCTTCATTGATTTTCTGATGTCGTCCCTTATCCTCTCTATGTAAACCCAATTCATGTCCTGATAAATGGTGACTCATGTATAGCATCATATGTGGTTATTAAAACAAGAAACATATTCATATTATAATAATTAATGTATGCTAGGACTTATAGATAGATGTCATTAGTCCCAGGTCATGTAATAAAGTAGGTCTTATAAAAATACAATAGCATTTTAATTTTGATGATTATATATATGTTTATATATTTATTAATGCAATTCTGTTTTTTTTTTTTTTTTTGCATTGGGAAGATTTTCTGGCTCTCTTCCACCTCTTCTTTTTTGATAGGTTGACGGCAGAGGCACATAACAAACATGGCGTCTAAATGAAATTAATAAATTTATGAATGTAGATATATTAGAATGTGAGCTGTTTTATAAACGTTTTTATGGTATGACAGCCTTAGTAGGACATCCCTGTAGGACGATAAGCTGGATAAATATAAGAACTACACGGACAATAACAGTTAAGGGACGATTATTAAATATTCTAGGGAAGGGATTTTGATTGATTGGTGTTTAACGCTACTTTCAACACTATTGGGCTATTCCGTGGTGGTCAGTTTAAATTTATAGATGAAGGATGGGGAAGGGAAGAGAGGGCATTATTATTCATTTCAATCTGTCGCTAATCATGCCTATTTTTCAGCTCTTACCAGGCAACCATATTCATATATGAAATCCTTCTGTCCCCCACCCCAACAAATAAATAAATATCAAATGGTTTTCCTCTTATTTAACACAAGTTTAAATTGATTGATTGTTTGTTGCTAATTTTAACGCCCAGTGAAAATTATTTCATGCTTGTTCAGGAAAACACGAGTTTAGAAGTCACGTATATAATATAAAAATGAAGAGATGGAATATGATTGCTAATAAGGCAACTATCCTCTGGAGTTCAAATATGAAGTGGATGTAAGCAATTATAGATAAGATAAGATAAGATAAGAAAATTTTTTTTTTATTTTAAGTCGGGTTACATGAAATACTACAAACATAAGCTCTGTAGAGCTTTTTGCCGTCATGCTTTTTGTAGACAATCGTAAGGCCTTCAACAATGACAAAAACCTGATACTGTAAAGTCGTCTATAAAAGGCCCGACATTAAAAGTGTGAAGAATTCAAACGAAAAAACTAAGAGCCTAATTATACATAACAAAACAATTTACAAAATATCAAATATGAGTCGAGACAGGAACCAACGACAACCACTTAACTACAGGCTCCATCCCTGGGACAGGCAAATAAAGAATATGGCAGGGTGGATATAAAAACGAAGATGTGGTATGATTGCAAATGAGACAGCTCTCCACAAGAGATCAAATGACACAGAAATCAACAGCTATAAGTCACCGTACGGCCTTCTACAATAAGCAAAGCCTACACCGCATAGTCAGCTATAAAAGGCCCCGAAATCAAAAATGTAAAACAATTCAATCGAGAAAACTGACGGCCGAATTAATGTACAAAAAAATGAACGAAACACAAATATGTATAACAAAGCAACAAACGGCAATCACTGAATTACAGGCTCCTGACTTGGGACAAGCACATACATACAGAATGTGGCGGGGTTAAACATGTAAGCGGGATCCCAATCCTCCCCCTAATCTGGGACAGCGGTGTAACAGTACAACAAAATGTTTGTGAGCAACCCATCCCGAACCTGGGACAGTGGTGTAACAGTACAATAAAATATCAACCTGCACAAATCAGCAAATTAACTCAAAAGATCGGTACGAGACACACAAAAAAACTAACATTAAGACAATAGACACAAAGCACCGACATAAGAGTATTTGCAATTACTGGAAGTTTGCTCAAACCTAATTACAACTGGTACTGAAATAAATCTTGTTCTCCCAGACTGAGTTATCAATCAGTACACAACGCGCGGCAAAGGATTTATAAAAAAAAGAAAACAGTCTGAGAAACGTCTGGTTTACGTTGTATATAGATATAAGAAGATGTGGTATGAGTGCCGATGAGACACCTCTCCATCCAAGTCATAATTTGTAAATGTAAACCATTAAAGGTCAACGTACGGTCTTCAACACGGAGCCTTGGCTCAAACCGAACAGCAAGCTATAAAGGGGCCCCAAAAATTTGTAGTATAAAACCATTCAAACGGGAAAACCAACGGTGTCTAATCTATTTAAAAAAAAACGATATACTTGCATATAAATCCATATACAATGAAACGGTTTTTGAAAAGTGGACCGAACGTTTTGACCATCGAAATTTTGAAATAGAAATACTAGTTATGACCACAAGATTTTAACAGCCAGTGCAGGACTCGCACGAACGTTAGATTTAGTTAGAGGGGCGATATTCTGACGCGTTTTTTAATTCTTGGTCACCCATATTTAGAAAGAAAGGGGAGAAATCCAAACAATTTCCGACCAATCACAAACGTTGTTGCAAATTTGACCTTATGACGTCAAAGAATTGCCCATAATGCAATTATTGCATATAAATAAAAAAACTACTATACCAATTGAATAAAAAATATTGCATTCAAATGATATTTTATACCAATTGAATAAAAACTATTGCATTTGAATGAAAATTATACCATTTGAATGAAAAATTATACCATTTGAATGAAAAATTATACCATTTGAATAAAAAATATTGTATTTAAATGAAAAAATATACCATTCAAATAAAAAAGTATTGCATTTAAATGAAGAAATATACCAATTAAATAAGAAATATTGCATTTAAATGAAAAATATCAAATTTTTGCAACCAATACCATGCCATAGTTGTAGGTAACAAACCTGCTGGATCATTATACGATCTCGTGTCGCAAAATTCTTCAAACTCGTCAGTATTTTCATTAAATAAACAGTGATAACCCTCAGAAATGTTACAATTACTGACAGCTCTGAATTTCCATTCAGTACGGGCTGGACATTCAAGCTTACGGTAGCTTAAAACTGGTGTTGTTACAAATATCTACAAATAGAAAAACTGAAATAAAATTACAAATACTCCAAACTGCATTGATTAAAAATAAATAAAAGTTAAATAAATTCAATATGAAAATATGGAGACGCGGTATGATTATCTAAATGTACATCAATGTTCATCTAAAACGTGATGAGTCGCAGATATGCAGGATTTAACATTTTCATTTCAAATTAAATGTTAAAGTTGCAGCCAAGTTTGATCTTAAAAGTTATGTCGCAGACGGTCGTTTCAAAAGTTATCGAATTTCTATCTTAAAAAACTAGCAGAGCATTTTCTGTTGTCGATTGAGATCAAACATGAATCCTAGAGGATAATTTTATCATTTATTCACAGTTTAAAATAAACATGATTCCTAAAATTCACATTTTTTGAAATATTTGCAACTATGTTTGTGATGTGCAAACTTCCTTTATAAACTAAGAAGATGTGGTATCATTTCCAATGAGACAACTCTCCACCAGAAACTAAATGAAGTATAGAAATTAACAATAATAGGTCACCGTACGGTCTTCAACTATGAGCAAAACCCATACTGCATATCAAGCTATAAAAGGCCCCGAAATGACAAATGTAAAACAGGAAGAGCTTGATACTCCGCAATAAGTATATGGTAAACAGGGAGTTATAGAAACTGAATATGAAAACAAACAACACGCTTTAGCATGTCAAGCTTTAGCATGTTCACAAATTTCCCTAGAATCCCTACAAAATTGCGACGAAAATGTCATACATGGTCATTATGCTTAGAATATATAAGTATATAATTTATGGTTAACAGGAAGTTTGATGAGCGATAAATCTGAAACTGCACCACAAGGTATAGCATGCTGAAATGAAGCCTGAAATGAAATTTTAGTAAACTATTATTTGTAGTTCCTGAGAGTGATTCAAAGTAAAAATGCGAATCAATTTGAGAAATTGCAAGAGTTAAATGTAGTGGACAATTATACACTAGAAGTGTGTACACTGTGTATCACCACCACCGGATATAGGTACCCGTGGCCTGGTTCTCAGTTCATTGTCTAAGAAAAACAACATTACTGTACACATACCAGCGTATAACTATGTCATAGAGTCATTTTAGACCTCATTTTATATTTTTGTGAAAATTTAGTTTTCAGCAAAAAAGAATAAGTTTAAGATATTTTATTTATTTAAAGTCCATTTCGAATCTGCAGTATTGATTAAAAGTATTTTTGTTTTATATTCGTTCATTATTGTTGAAGGAAATCATTTTTATATTCTCGATATATTTAAGATAAAAAGTTCTAATTTAATAGATATTTACTTTGGCATTTGTCACTTTAGATTTTCTCTTTGTTAGGCATTATTTTTTATCAATTTAAGATGTTTAGCGACAAGCTAAGTGGACACAATTAGACATGTTTTTTACTAAGTCTTTTGTCCTTTAAACACAAACAAGTTGTTGTGTAAACAACATATGTCTAGGTAACCTGGTCAATTAGGGTTCTTTGTTCTGTGCAGCAAAGACCTTTCCACGCCCCTTTTTACCCCAAATTATCAGGGTAACTAAGTGGCTCGGGTGTTTAACGAACCTGATTGGTCGAACCTGAAACAGTAACGCAAAATCGAACAAGTGAATTTCGGTCTCAAAAGTGGCACTTTCTCATTCGCTTTTGAAGATACAAGTTCTAAAACCTATATCACTGTGTTTGTTATAACTGTTTTCAGGTGAGTCAAGTATTTTAATTATTCAAAGTTAATATGTTTCTTTCATTATTTTATTCAATTGAATCATGAAACTTTGTAAAGTTTCGTTTCCATTTCATTTAGTAAAGTTGAAGTTAAATATCTATGAGTTCTGCAAGTAAAGAAGTTAAGATCAAATTGTTGTTTCTCGATCAGTGTAAATAGATGTATATATGTTCAAAAAAAGGTTGGTTTATTCTTCACAAACTTTCTGTACTCAAGGGTATTTTTAAACGCATTATAGAATTTAGTTTTACGCTCGCATGTTGGAAATGATAATTTTAACTTATCGCTTGTTTATACTTAATAAGAATTAAGGTCAGTTCTGCAAGGGTAAGATTTCAATTATTTTAATAAACGCTTTATGCGTAATTTCCACATGTGTAGGCTAATTTAATAAGAAATTATTTATCGTAAACTATTCTTGTTGTTTAGCCCTATATTATTACGAGTCATGAATTTTTGATACAAAGCAAGCATATATATTTTTAAAGCTAGTTTCCCCATTTCATATTATATTGTTTAATATTTATATTATTTGAATATTCACGATTATTTTCGTAATGCTAAGTTTGTCTCGATTTCGAATATTTCTCAACCAATGCTCATCGTCGGAATTGATTATTTTTGGGTTAATAGGTTTTTATATAGTTTAAGTTTTTACTAGCGCAATATATGCTCTACCATGATTATAATTCGAAAGATAAAAGAATTCAACATGTTTATTCATGTCCATTGTTAAGATATTATGCATTCAATACTTTATGCTGTTCAGCACATGCTTTAAGCTCCGTTAGGTTCAAATATTAGGTCTCGCATTATGCTCATACATTTAAGATTTAGTCCGCATCTTGCTCATATATTTGAATGCTAAATAAGCTTTTATTTATAAGAAATATTATAAGCATCCGTGTTCGTCAGTTAAAATGTATATGCTCATGCATTAGCGTAAAGTTTGTATACCAAAGATATTAATTGATCAATTATATTGTAAAATCATATGAATTATATGTTTCTATTATTTGCATTATATACTATTATATTGTTATTAATTATATGACTTTCTCATGCGCTTTTGAAGATACAAGTTCTAAAACCTACTTCACTGTGTTTGTTATAACTGTTTTCAGGCCCTTGCTCATCCCCCTAAGTCCGCAAGGTGTGCTGTTGGTTAAGTCCAACCATAACAGACAAACAACAGACCATACAACCCAGAAACCCAATACTGATAACTGTCGGAGTCCCTTAAGATCCAGAATACAATTCTGATAACTGGTGGAGGACCCGGGCAGTTATCAGTATTGGGTTTCTGGGTTGTATGGGACCACATTACTAACAGATCTCACTAACATAGGCAACATGCTCAGAAGCAAAGTGGACCAGTTTCAGGCAGCAGTCCAAAGTTTGGTCGAAGGGCGGATCTCACCATTCTTATTGCCAAAACATACTTTAACACAAGCTCTGCACAAAATCCAAACTATCTTAACAAATTCATACTCAGGATTCTACTTAACACAACCTCACCCATCCTATTACTATACTAATTCAAATTTCATGTTTATGCGTAACCACTCTAAACTTTTCATTACCCTTCGTTTTCCTATATCTTCACTCACTCACCCTCTTCGTCTTTACAAGATATTGTCACTTCCTGTTCCTGTAAATAATTCTCTCAAGCATGCAACTAAGTTACTAGATCTACCTGATTTCTTTGCTATAACCCACCAGCATGACTATTATTTACATATCTCAGCTAACGAACTAAGTAACTGCAAGCATGAATCAATAATCACGTGCAATTTTAACAAGGCACACATACCAACGCATGTTCCACAATGCACTATTGGATTGTTCAATAACGACATCAACCAGGTTTCACAATTCTGTGATTTCCGTTTTTTTGAAAAACCATTTGACCCATGATATCATTGAATTGACTTCCACGTCAGTATTGGTGTATCAAAGTGATTCACTTGCACTTAATTGCCCAGGTAAACAAACCACTTTACCTGGTTGCAAGTTCTGTGTTATTCATTTACCGTGCAAGTGTTCACTGTCTACAGTATATATTGTGTGATTTGTTTTTTTTTTATTGTGTTTATTTAAATATGTTTATTGATTTCTAAAATGTATTATTACTATTTTTCCAGAAAAAAAATTTCGTTCAAGATTTCGGGACGAAATCAGCTGAAGTAGAGGGGAGTTGTCATAGAGTCATTTTAGACCTCATTTTATATTTTTGTGAAAATTTAGTTTTCAGCAAAAAAGAATAAGTTTAAGATATTTTATTTATTTAAAGTCCATTTCGAAGCTGCAGTATTGATTAAAAGTATTTTTGTTTTATATTCGTTCATTATTGTTGAAGGAAATCATTTTTATATTCTCGATATATTTAAGATAAAAAGTTCTAATTTAATAGATATTTACTTTGGCATTTGTCACTTTAGATTTTCTCTTTGTTAGGCATTATTTTTTATCAATTTAAGATGTTTAGCGACAAGCTAAGTGGACACAATTAGACATGTTTTTTACTAAGTCTTTTGTCCTTTAAACACAAACAAGTTGTTGTGTAAACAACATATGTCTAGGTAACCTGGTCAATTAGGGTTCTTTGTTCTGTCCAGCAAAGACCTTTCCACGCCCCTTTTTACCCCAAATTATCAGGGTAACTAAGTGGCTCGGGTGTTTAACGAATCTGATTGGTCGAACCTGAAACAGTAACGCAAAATCGAACAAGTGAATTTCGGTCTCAAAAGTGGCACTTTCTCATGCGCTTTTGAAGATACAAGTTCTAAAACCTATATCACTGTGTTTGTTATAACTGTTTTCAGGTGAGTCAAGTATTTTAATTATTCAAAGTTAATATGTTTCTTTCATTATTTTATTCAATTGAATCATGAAACTTTGTAAAGTTTCGTTTCCATTTCATTTAGTAAAGTTGAAGTTAAATATCTATGAGTTCTGCAAGTAAAGAAGTTAAGATCAAATTGTTGTTTCTCGATCAGTGTAAATAGATGTATATATGTTCAAAAAAAGGTTGGTTTATTCTTCACAAACTTTCTGTACTCAAGGGTATTTTTAAACGCATTATAGAATTTAGTTTTACGCTCGCATGTTGGAAATGATAATTTTAACTTATCGCTTGTTTATACTTAATAAGAATTAAGGTCAGTTCTGCAAGGGTAAGATTTCAATTATTTTAATAAACGCTTTATGCGTAATTTCCACATGTGTAGGCTAATTTAATAAGAAATTATTTATCGTAAACTATTCTTGTTGTTTAGCCCTATATTATTACGAGTCATGAATTTTTGATACAAAGCAAGCATATATATTTTTAAAGCTAGTTTCCCCATTTCATATTATATTGTTTAATATTTATATTATTTGAATATTCACGATTATTTTCGTAATGCTAAGTTTGTCTCGATTTCGAATATTTCTCAACCAATGCTCATCGTCGGAATTGATTATTTTTGGGTTAATAGGTTTTTATATAGTTTAAGTTTTTACTAGCGCAATATATGCTCTACCATGATTATAATTCGAAAGATAAAAGAATTCAACATGTTTATTCATGTCCATTGTTAAGATATTATGCATTCAATACTTTATGCTGTTCAGCACATGCTTTAAGCTCCGTTAGGTTCAAATATTAGGTCTCGCATTATGCTCATACATTTAAGATTTAGTCCGCATCTTGCTCATATATTTGAATGCTAAATAAGCTTTTATTTATAAGAAATATTATAAGCATCCGTGTTCGTCAGTTAAAATGTATATGCTCATGCATTAGCGTAAAGTTTGTATACCAAAGATATTAATTGATCAATTATATTGTAAAATCATATGAATTATATGTTTCTATTATTTGCATTATATACTATTATATTGTTATTAATTATATGACTTTCTCATGCGCTTTTGAAGATACAAGTTCTAAAACCTACTTCACTGTGTTTGTTATAACTGTTTTCAGGCCCTTGCTCATCCCCCTAAGTCCGCAAGGTGTGCTGTTGGTTAAGTCCAACCATAACAGACAAACAACAGACCATACAACACAGAAACCCAATACTGATAACTGTCGGAGTCCCTTAAGATCCAGAATACAATTCTGATAACTGGTGGAGGACCCGGGCAGTTATCAGTATTGGGTTTCTGGGTTGTATGGGACCACATTACTAACAGATCTCACTAACACAGGCAACATGCTCAGAAGCAAAGTGGACCAGTTTCAGGCAGCAGTCCAAAGTTTGGTCGAAGGGCGGATCTCACCATTCTTATTGCCAAAACATACTTTAACACAAGCTCTGCACAAAATCCAAACTATCTTAACAAATTCATACTCAGGATTCTACTTAACACAACCTCACCCATCCTATTACTATACTAATTCAAATTTCATGTTTATGCGTAACCACTCTAAACTTTTCATTACCCTTCGTTTTCCTATATCTTCACTCACTCACCCTCTTCGTCTTTACAAGATATTGTCACTTCCTGTTCCTGTAAATAATTCTCTCAAGCATGCAACTAAGTTACTAGATCTACCTGATTTCTTTGCTATAACCCACCAGCATGACTATTATTTACATATCTCAGCTAACGAACTAAGTAACTGCAAGCATGAATCAATAATCACGTGCAATTTTAACAAGGCACACATACCAACGCATGTTCCACAATGCACTATTGGATTGTTCAATAACGACATCAACCAGGTTTCACAATTCTGTGATTTCCGTTTTTTGAAAAACCATTTGACCCATGATATCATTGAATTGACTTCCACGTCAGTATTGGTGTATCAAAGTGATTCACTTGCACTTAATTGCCCAGGTAAACAAACCACTTTACCTGGTTGCAAGTTCTGTGTTATTCATTTACCGTGCAAGTGTTCACTGTCTACAGTATATATTGTGTGATTTGTTTTTTTTTTATTGTGTTTATTTAAATATGTTTATTGATTTCTAAAATGTATTATTACTATTTTTCCAGAAAAAAAATTTCGTTCAAGATTTCGGGACGAAATCAGCTGAAGTAGAGGGGAGTTGTCATAGAGTCATTTTAGACCTCATTTTATATTTTTGTGAAAATTTAGTTTTCAGCAAAAAAGAATAAGTTTAAGATATTTTATTTATTTAAAGTCCATTTCGAAGCTGCAGTATTGATTAAAAGTATTTTTGTTTTATATTCGTTCATTATTGTTGAAGGAAATCATTTTTATATTCTCGATATATTTAAGATAAAAAGTTCTAATTTAATAGATATTTACTTTGGCATTTGTCACTTTAGATTTTCTCTTTGTTAGGCATTATTTTTTATCAATTTAAGATGTTTAGCGACAAGCTAAGTGGACACAATTAGACATGTTTTTTACTAAGTCTTTTGTCCTTTAAACACAAACAAGTTGTTGTGTAAACAACATATGTCTAGGTAACCTGGTCAATTAGGGTTCTTTGTTCTGTCCAGCAAAGACCTTTCCACGCCCCTTTTTACCCCAAATTATCAGGGTAACTAAGTGGCTCGGGTGTTTAACGAATCTGATTGGTCGAACCTGAAACAGTAACGCAAAATCGAACAAGTGAATTTCGGTCTCAAAAGTGGCACTTTCTCATGCGCTTTTGAAGATACAAGTTCTAAAACCTATATCACTGTGTTTGTTATAACTGTTTTCAGGTGAGTCAAGTATTTTAATTATTCAAAGTTAATATGTTTCTTTCATTATTTTATTCAATTGAATCATGAAACTTTGTAAAGTTTCGTTTCCATTTCATTTAGTAAAGTTGAAGTTAAATATCTATGAGTTCTGCAAGTAAAGAAGTTAAGATCAAATTGTTGTTTCTCGATCAGTGTAAATAGATGTATATATGTTCAAAAAAAGGTTGGTTTATTCTTCACAAACTTTCTGTACTCAAGGGTATTTTTAAACGCATTATAGAATTTAGTTTTACGCTCGCATGTTGGAAATGATAATTTTAACTTATCGCTTGTTTATACTTAATAAGAATTAAGGTCAGTTCTGCAAGGGTAAGATTTCAATTATTTTAATAAACGCTTTATGCGTAATTTCCACATGTGTAGGCTAATTTAATAAGAAATTATTTATCGTAAACTATTCTTGTTGTTTAGCCCTATATTATTACGAGTCATGAATTTTTGATACAAAGCAAGCATATATATTTTTAAAGCTAGTTTCCCCATTTCATATTATATTGTTTAATATTTATATTATTTGAATATTCACGATTATTTTCGTAATGCTAAGTTTGTCTCGATTTCGAATATTTCTCAACCAATGCTCATCGTCGGAATTGATTATTTTTGGGTTAATAGGTTTTTATATAGTTTAAGTTTTTACTAGCGCAATATATGCTCTACCATGATTATAATTCGAAAGATAAAAGAATTCAACATGTTTATTCATGTCCATTGTTAAGATATTATGCATTCAATACTTTATGCTGTTCAGCACATGCTTTAAGCTCCGTTAGGTACAAATATTAGGTCTCGCATTATGCTCATACATTTAAGATTTAGTCCGCATCTTGCTCATATATTTGAATGATAAATAAGCTTTTATTTATAAGAAATATTATAAGCATCCGTGTTCGTCAGTTAAAATGCATATGCTCATGCATTAGCGTAAAGTTTGTATACCAAAGATATTAATTGATCAATTATATTGTAAAATCATATGAATTATATGTTTCTATTATTTGCATTATATACTATTATATTGTTATTAATTATATGACTTTCTCATGCGCTTTTAAAGATACAAGTTCTAAAACCTACTTCACTGTGTTTGTTATAACTGTTTTCAGGCCCTTGCTCATCCCCCTAAGTCCGCAAGGTGTGCTGTTGGTTAAGTCCAACCATAACAGACAAACAACAGACCATACAACCCAGAAACCCAATACTGATAACTGTCGGAGTCCCTTAAGATCCAGAATACAATTCTGATAACTACCTGGATACCTATATGTTGGTATATGTACAGTAATGTAGTTTTTCTTAGATATTGAACAGAGAACCAGGCCAAGGATACCTATATCCAGTGGTGATGATACACAGTGGTGTATATCTTGTACATGTCAAAGGTCGTCTAATATCTCCAAAGCAGACGTTAACATACTTACAAAGAGTAGACGAAACCATTTTAAGCTATACATGTTGTATTTTTCACCCATAATTGTAAAACTGAAAGACAAAATTAAATTCTGATTCCATAAATTATAATTTTACATCGTGTCATGGAACATAGATAATATTTCAACTAAACTACAATATAAAACATCAATTTATAACCTATGATAAAATATAACAATCAAATCTCATGAGGTCTTGTATGATTAGATATATGTGTAAGTTATGAGACGACAATATCAGATATATGATCAGATATATAGGTGTAAGTTATGAGACGACAATATCTTATTTATGAAACCGTAATAAATAATTATTTTTGCCTTTTCTCCTACGACTCTTATTCTAAAAAGGGCAACTAGATTTAATTAAACAGGAATATCTCAAATGTACCAGATGCAGTATACTTTTCGAAGATATTTAATAGTTATGAATTTGGAATGAAATTAATACATTATTGCTGCTTTTGTATGACATTATGAATCGCTTAACTATTAGGTCACACTGTCTGAACCACAACAACGCCTAAAGTCAACGTTATATAGTGTGATAAAGCGGGCATATTGTATTTAGGTGTAAATTATTATATTACAGTGTTGAGTGTATCATGTGTATACAGACAAGACTTGAGAACATTTCTGATGAACACTCAAGGAAACGTATTATATTGTATTTGTCTGTCATACATTTTTGTTGGTGTAAGTAGACCATCATTACAATAAGAAAATGTGTACCAAAGCATTCACACAAAAAATTACTATAAACGTGTACAACCATGATTATTGTTTCATTATATAAACAGTAAATACATTGATTTTATAACGTGTCTGCTAGTAAGGTAATATTTTCAGTAAGAAGCCATAACATATGAATGGTTATTATTATGTATTACTGGGTTGCTGTCTCATTGACGTATCTCTATAACCAGTAGTTTTTTTGCCCTGCTATATTAACTCAAACAAATCTTGGACACACAGGATCTGTATACCTATGCATATGAGACATATGAGAAACACGGACCCAGGAAAAACTGGAACAGAAATTCTCAGATATTCTGAATCTACAATGCACCATATTGAGATCCCGTAAAACGGGAAATAGAACTACAATGCAGCATATTTCAAGTTTAAACTGGAAAATAAATATGGATAGAAGGTCATTAAACCAGTCCTAGTAATAATCAATTCTTTCTTGTCTACCATAACATTATGTAGTTAATGGAAACATACATTGCAGATATATAGTAGGTATACAACAGGTTATTATACTATATAGATCATTTGCAATGTCTAATAAGGACTAGCTGGGCCTTATAATTGTCATATTGGTCACATGTCCATTTTTGCCGAAAAAGTTTTAACCTCTTTAAAATATGTAGAGTATATCCTAAATGAATCAAATAAAGGAGGGGCACATGTTCTATGAATATAGTGAATGCATTGTCCAAAGTTTGAAAGCTCTAAGGTTAAAAACTGTGGGAGGAGTTCCTTGCACAAAATGGGTACCCTATTTTCACGCTCGCCTGAATGTCCATCGATCGGCCCACCCGCAAGCTCGACTTTCATCATCTTATATACAGTTTTGCATTGAGTACAACCCGTCAAACAGTTTTGACCTCGAGTTCACCCCTCTTAAATTAAAGGTCCGACGAAATTGATTTGGAAAACGCAAAAATTACAAATACCAAGTATTTATTGTAGTTTAAATTTACAAAGGTGGACAGGGATTTTGTTTCTCCCATCCCCGACTCCTTTCTCTCGGCTCCCCTTCTATCCTTTCTTGAGGATCCATTTCTTTTCTGGAATCATCTTGCCTCCTTTCAGTGTTCCAAGCGGCCGACACATATTATGGAATTTATAATATTCATCCTCACGAAATAAATCTCATGGAATATTCTTTCCATAAGGAATATTTACAATATTGTTTATGATAATGTTTCAACGATGACATGTGTTATAATGGAAAAACTAAACGTTGACACGTCGACGTTTATATATATAACGGTTAAAAGCTCAATAGAGCATGTGTTATGTACTTGTTTGTATAATATGCCGACTCTAAATATTATTAAGCTTATTTGTTATTTGAATTCATTATTTATTAATATTATCATGATAATTATATATCTTTTCGTAACACTTTTAACTACACACCTGTGAACATTTAAACAACCTTTACACATGTTACACAAGCCTTGTAGAATGTAAACAACTAGTCATTTATGATAATATATAATAGATATATATAATAATCAGTGCTATTTATTTGTCTGTAAAGTGTTAAGGTAATAACCTATACATTCTCTTCATATTACTTATCACTAGGGATATTGGTTTTCGTAGCTCCGTATCGCGCCCATTTCCAACCCAATTATAGTATTACGTTTTAACTACGCACTCATTTGCCGCGTGCCTACTGATGGGGTGATCTTGAATTTGATGTACCATATTTATCACGTCAAAATTATAATAATTAAATCATACTTACCAATTTTAAGATGTTATACCGTTTATGGAGCATCAAATGTTTTTAAATATCCAAATATTAAAAGTCATACTATAATACTAACTAAACGTATGAATATTATCGCCGTGCACACTGCCGGTTTGTCAAGTCGTACCATATCTGTTTCTAATTTTAAAACAGGATTTTTCCGTAATAACTGGGTGACTTCAAATTATTCGACTTTTAGCGTTCCTGGTGCAGATAAACCAGAAAAGCGCTTCGGATGCATGAAATTTGTTTTTGTTTGTGACAGCGTTGACAATTAATAACGTTAGAAAGTTAGTAAAAACAACGCTTCATTAAATCTAAAAGAGAACATTATAAGTAAATAACGTGAGAGGTGTACATCAAACTATTTTTAGAAATGAATAATATGTACTTGCATTTTACTGCATTTCTAGAAAATTGATATTAACAAGTCAATTGTACACACGATCGTTTTATGAACAGAAGAATGTTACAGAACGATTAGAACTTATTGACTCTTTTATGTAAATAATTTCCGATAAAATAAAAAGAAAATGATCGCAACAACTGTTTAAAAAATGTAGGTTACTATTTGAGAGGGGCTGACACATTTTGTATCCTCTATTTCCAACATCCCCACTTTTTTTCTCCCATAGTATATCCCGGAACCCACTTGTTTTACCCCTATATCACACATCTCATAGTTTTTCTTTCCCTCTATTTGAAATTTGTAGTTCAGCTCACACACACACACACAAACACACACATATATATATATATATATATAAAAGTCTAAATTGAAAACAACGTTCAAACCTATGATTGCGTTGGATAAAAACCGCAATTTTTATACTTGGCATGTAAAACAAATTGCTTGGTATAGGGGTCTAAATACAGCACAAACAACAATTTCCAAAAGACCCAAAAAAGTGAAAAAGTCTATTTTAACAAAACGCATTTGACTAACAGGTCGAACAACTGATGTTCTTAAACCCTGCTGACTGCCATTGGCGATTGCCAAATAAATTGATCACCAGATCTAACAAAATGGATCTTAATATTAATTTAATACCAAACAGAAAACAATAAACGCGTGGAAAAGATGGTATACCACGAACATGAGGTGCAAAAATTTGTACACCATATCCGGATTTCGACAATTAATGTCTCTTCAGTGATGTTAGGGATCGAAACGGTATTTGGAAGGCCATATAATTCACCTCAATTTAGGAAAGACTCTTGAATTTTAAAGAGTCCAAATAGGATGAACGGATCATATAAACCCGAAGGAAAATATAATACAAGCCCAAACGAAAAAATATATAAAAGTCTAAATTGAAAACAACGTTCAAACCTATGATTGCGTTGGATAAAAACTGCAATTTTTATACGTGTGCATGTAAAACAAATTTCTTTGGAGAGGGGTCTAAATACAGCACAAACAACAATTTCCAAAAGACCAAAAAAAGTGATAAAGTCTATTTTAACAAAACGCATTTGACTAACAGGTCGAACAACTGATGTTCTTAAACCCTGCTGACTGCCATTGGCGATTGCCAAATAAATTGATCACCAGATCTAACAAAATGGATCTTAATATTAATTTAATACCAAACAGAAAACAATAAACGCGTGGAAAAGATGGTATACCACAAACATGAGGTGCAAAAATTTGTACACCATATCCGGATTTCGACAATTAATGTCTCTTCAGTGATGTTAGGGATCGAAACGGTATTTGGAAGGCCATATAATTCACCTCAATTTAGGAAAGACTCTTGAATTTTAAAGAGTCCAAATAGGATGAACGAATCATATAAACCCGAAGGAAAATATAATACAAGCCCAAACGAAAAAATATATAAAAGTCTAAATTGAAAACAACGTTCAAACCTATGATTGCGTTGGATAAAAACCGCAATTTTTATACGTGTGCATGTAAAACAAATTGCTTGGTAGAGGGGTCTAAATACAGCACAAACAACAATTTCCAAAAGACCAAAAAAAGTGAAAAAGTCTATTTTAACAAAACGCATTTGACTAACAGGTCGAACAACTGATGTTCTTAAACCCTGCTGACTGCCATTGGCGATTGCCAAATAAATTGATCACCAGATCTAACAAAATGGATCTTAATATTAATTTAATACCAAACAGAAAACAATAAACGCGTGGAAAAGATGGTATACCACAAACATGAGGTGCAAAAATTTGTACACCATATCCGGATTTCGACAATTAATGTCTCTTCAGTGATGTTAGGGATCGAAACGGTATTTGGAAGGCCATATAATTCACCTCAATTTAGGAAAGACTCTTGAATTTTAAAGAGTCCAAATAGGATGAACGGATCATATAAACCCGAAGGAAAATATAATACAAGCCCAAACGAAAAAATATATAAAAGTCTAAATTGAAAACAACGTTCAAACCTATAATTGCGTTGGATAAAAACCGCAATTTTTATACGTGTGCATGTAAAACAAATTGCTTGGTAGAGGGGTCTAAATACAGCACAAACAACAATTTCCAAAAGACCAAAAAAAGTGAAAAAGTCTATTTTAACAAAACGCATTTGACTAACAGGTCGAACAACTGATGTTCTTAAACCCTGCTGACTGCCATTGGCGATTGCCAAATAAATTGATCAGACACCAGATCTAACAAAATGGATCTTAATATTAATTTAATACCAAACAGAAAACAATAAACGCGTGGAAAAGATGGTATACCACAAACATGAGGTGCAAAAATTTGTACACCATATCCGGATTTCGACAATTAATGTCTCTTCAGTGATGTTAGGGATCGAAACGGTATTTGGAAGGCCATATAATTCACCTCAATTTAGGAAAGACTCTTGAATTTTAAAGAGTCCAAATAGGATGAACGGATCATATAAACCCGAAGGAAAATATAATACAAGCCCAAACGAAAAAATATATAAAAGTCTAAATTGAAAACAACGTTCAAACCTATGATTGCGTTGGATAAAAACCGCAATTTTTATACGTGTGCATGTAAAACAAATTGCTTGGTAGAGGGGTCTAAATACAGCACAAACAACAATTTCCAAAAGACCAAAAAAAGTGAAAAAGTCTATTTTAACAAAACGCATTTGACTAACAGGTCGAACAACTGATGTTCTTAAACCCTGCTGACTGCCATTGGCGATTGCCAAATAAATTGATCACCAGATCTAACAAAATGGATCTTAATATTAATTTAATACCAAACAGAAAACAATAAACGCGTGGAAAAGATGGTATACCACAAACATGAGGTGCAAAAATTTGTACACCATATCCGGATTTCGACAATTAATGTCTCTTCAGTGATGTTAGGGATCGAAACGGTATTTGGAAGGCCATATAATTCACCTCAATTTAGGAAAGACTCTTGAATTTTAAAGAGTCCAAATAGGATGAACGGATCATATAAACCCAAAGGAAAATATAATACAAGCCCAAACGAAAAAATATATAAAAGTCTAAATTGAAAACAACGTTCAAACCTATGATTGCGTTGGATAAAAACCGCAATTTTTATACGTGTGCATGTAAAACAAATTGCTTGGTAGAAGGGTCTAAATACAGCACAAACAACAATTTCCAAAAGACCAAAAAAAGTGAAAAAGTCTATTTTAACAAAACGCATTTGACTAACAGGTCGAACAACTGATGTTCTTAAACCCTGCTGACTGCCATTGGCGATTGCCAAATAAATTGATCACCAGATCTAACAAAATGGATCTTAATATTAATTTAATACCAAACAGAAAACAATAAACGCGTGGAAAAGATGGTATACCACAAACATGAGGTGCAAAAATTTGTACACCATATCCGGATTTCGACAATTAATGTCTCTTCAGTGATGTTAGGGATCGAAACGGTATTTGGAAGGCCATATAATTCACCTCAATTTAGGAAAGACTCTTGAATTTTAAAGAGTCCAAATAGGATGAACGGATCATATAAACCCGAAGGAAAATATAATACAAGCCCAAACGAAAAAATATATAAAAGTCTAAATTGAAAACAACGTTCAAACCTATGATTGCATTGGATAAAAACCGCAATTCATATACGTGTGCATGTAAAACAAATTGCTTGGTAGAGGGGTCTAAATACAGCACAAACAACAATTTCCAAAAGACCAAAAAAAGTGAAAAAGTCTATTTTAACAAAACGCATTTGACTAACAGGTCGAACAACTGATGTTCTTAAACCCTGCTGACTGCCATTGGCGATTGCCAAATAAATTGATCACCAGATCTAACAAAATGGATCTTAATATTAATTTAATACCAAACAGAAAACAATAAACGCGTGGAAAAGATGGTATACCACAAACATGAGGTGCAAAAATTTGTACACCATATCCGGATTTCGACAATTAATGTCTCTTCAGTGATGTTAGGGATCGAAACGGTATTTGGAAGGCCATATAATTCACCTCAATTTAGGAAAGACTCTTGAATTTTAAAGAGTCCAAATAGGATGAACGGATCATATAAACCCGAAGGAAAATATAATACAAGCCCAAACGAAAAAATATATAAAAGTCTAAATTGGAAACAACGTTCAAACCTATGATTGCGTTGGATAAAAACCGCAATTTTTATACGTGTGCATGTAAAACAAATTGCTTGGTAGAGGGGTCTAAATACAGCACAAACAACAATTTCCAAAAGACCAAAAAAAGTGAAAAAGTCTATTTTAACAAAACGCATTTGACTAACAGGTCGAACAACTGATGTTCTTAAACCCTGCTGACTGCCATTGGCGATTGCCAAATAAATTGATCACCAGATCTAACAAAATGGATCTTAATATTAATTTAATACCAAACAGAAAACAATAAACGCGTGGAAAAGATGGTATACCACAAACATGAGGTGCAAAAATTTGTACACCATATCCGGATTTCGACAATTAATGTCTCTTCAGTGATGTTAGGGATCGAAACGGTATTTGGAAGGCCATATAATTCACCTCAATTTAGGAAAGACTCTTGAATTTTAAAGAGTCCAAATAGGATGAACGGATCATATAAACCCGAAGGAAAATATAATACAAGCCCAAACGAAAAAATATATAAAAGTCTAAATTGAAAAAAACGTTCAAACCTATGATTGCGTTGGATAAAAACCGCAATTTTTATACGTGTGCATGTAAAACAAATTGCTTGGTAGAGGGGTCTAAATACAGCACAAACAACAATTTCCAAAAGACCAAAAAAAGTGATAAAGTCTATTTTAACAAAACGCATTTGACTAACAGGTCGA